TTATCAACTTTCGCCATAAACACATACGAGTACACCATCGCGTCTTCTGAACAGTAAGTACGATGGAAACATCTCTGTCATACTATAGTTCTTCATCTAAACAAGGATATAATCACATTTATCCTTCGACATACCACATGCATGGTATACAGTCATCACACATCCATGAGAAAAAGAAACAGATAAAAAAGTAGCCATTACGGCCTATATAGCATCCATTTTGTCAACAAACATAGTATTATCTCTAAACAGTATTATCTCAACACAAATGGGAGGAGTAAGTATTGTCTCAAACAAATTAGGGATACCCCCCTTACAGACCAAAATCCCAGAAAAGTTTTCAACAAAATCACACTGTCTGGATAGACATGTCTTGAGGTCCATTATTATCTTCAACGTGATCCTCACCCGCGCTAGGTGGTCCTTGAGGAGTTGGATCTTGCATGGATGGCGGGATAGTCTCAGTATCCATCGTGCTAATTAGCTCCACTGGAACTTCTTGATCTTCGTCATTCAGCGTCATCAGCTGGCCATCTTTGAAGTAGTAATAATAATGGACATTCTCCAACTTCGCTGAAGGGTTGAAGAAGCGTAATTGCCCTATGATATTGGAGTAAGTTTCCTTAGCTTCCCTCTCGAATAAATCCTGATACTTCTTAACCTCACTGGTTAAGGCCGCCTTCTCCTCGGCCTATGTATAAGCATTTCCTTCCACCTCCATGACACGCTTGTTCAGATCAACTTTTTCTGCTTCTAATCTCTTTTGGGAGGTTGTCATTTCTTTCAGAGCGTTGTCCTTCTTCTCCAAATCAGCCTTCATTTTGGTCATTTCTTCTTCAGCTTTCTTTAGCTTCTATTCGAAGTCGGTGCGTTGATTCGCGATATCACCCTTCAGCTCATCAATACGTTCCTTCAAGAAGTCCACAGAACCTGCTACATAGAAAAAGGTTATAATTAAATGCACGATATCATATTTCAAACCAAAATAGCAAAGTAGCAAGTCACTTACCAGGGACGGACATAATGAACTGGTTCGCTATGCTCAGGTTGACAGAAGTTTGTAGCCATTTTTCTCTGGCAATGCTTCAATACGCGATCTGACTTCTCTACCTTTGGCATACATGTCTTTATCAAACTCCCAGCCTTCACCAACATAAACAAAGTCTGGCCAACCTACATTAGACTTCCCAGCCATTTCCTCAAAACTTCTTTTCTTCCCCTTCGAGGTACTTCAGTCACCTTTTTAGGAGGGATGACATCCATAGGGGCGGTAGGAGGACTTAAAGGTTTCATTGGTGACTTCAACCGCGCGGTTGCATTCTCGCTTGATTCCGCGATTGCAGCAGTTGCAGACATGGAAGGCTTGGCAGGCATAGAGGGACTAGCCCCAGTATTACAGTGATTGGCCGCAATCTTCTCCAACCTGCTCAACGAAGCCGCCATTGAACTATCTGCAACAACATTGGAAATACGACATGCATGTTAGACATATCCAAAATATCTTTATACCTAGGGTTATACAAAGTTCTTTATCCAGGAACTCAACAAACAAACAGAGAAATAAGTTACCCAAATAAGCTCGGATATCGTCCTCAGAATATTCATTCAAAATTGTATACGTGCTCAATGAGCCCGTATCAGAAGCTTCACGAGCAATATTACTCAGAGTGGTCACAGTCTTCTGCTCCAAATCACTAAAGTCATCAAAATTATAACTAAAATTGGCACCTTCTAACGAAAGCTCGGTCCAGTATAAAGGAAATATGGGAGTCCCATCATCTCCTAAGAAAAATGGGTTGGTATCTTTGGCAGGATAAATTTTGAAGTATTCCGTCGACCACTTGTTGATCTTCCTGATGTACGACTCATAAAACTTCACCTTACTTCTAAACGATGTCCAACTAGAATGCGACCTCATCTCACTAAACATGTACAAGAATGACTCTACTGATTGAAAAAGACCATAGGCCTTGCAGACCATCTCATACACTGTAATAAAACCCCAGGCATTGGGGGTCAGATGTGAAGTCGCCGCATTCAGATGCGCCAGCAGTTTACAAATAAATGAGGAAAAGGGAAGACGAACTCCTATAGACAAGAAGAAATAGGAATACATCATTATGAAATGCCCAGCTGATCCTTCTACTCGCGCAGAATAAACGCGCTCATTCTTTGGGACGATGTCAACCTCCCACTGATCATCAAGGGCTTTATCAGGAGTAAGGTAGATAGCAGTTGTTACTTCCGCCAGCTCTCCCGGAGAACAAAACACCGACGCGGTATCTAATACCGTATCTGTTACCCAACCTAGGGATTCCTCATCCCGTAAGTTCCGCTTGACAGGAGATTCATCCTCCGGATCAAAGTGTATAACTTTCTTCTTGGACCCAAGATTCAGCTTTTGTTTCTTCTTTTCGGTAGCGCCATGCTTCTCGGTAGCACCGCGTCTTGCCATTATTTCCTTGATTTGGGGAGACACAAAATCTGATTCAGAAGAGGAAGAATCAGTAGATGAAGACGAATCAGAGGAAGCAGAGACATCAAATGCAGATTTATAATTATCAAAATTTCTTTTCTTAAAAGGATACCCTACCAGATATATTACATTTAACGGTAAGGGACTTGGACTTTTTCGACCGCGATACGCTTGCGCGATATGAGGTGAAGTATCGCGCAACGTGTTTGGAGAAGATGGTTTAGGGTCTACTATACTTTCAGAACTCGAGGAGGTATCACTCGAAATTAAAATCGGCCTATTCATTCTAAAGGAAACCTCGGGAAACAAAGATGAACTTTGTTGAGAAAATTTCTTTCCGCGATTTGGTTGTCGCGAAGATGACCCTAATTCGAACCTACGAACAGAGGGGACACGGCTCTCATATACACAAAATTTGGGACAGGGGGCAATACATCCCTCAGTAGGCCGCACTTCCCTGGTTCCCAAAGACCTCGATCCAGGCAACAATCTCGAAGGAGGACTGAACGAACCAAACCGTTCAAAATATCTAATAAAGTCAAGTATAAGGAAGGAAGATTAATAAAAAAGATGATCAAACAAAACAAGATAATAAAGGAAGAAGAAGAAAAAACCTGAGATTTTTACTTCGGAGTAACAACCACGAGCAGGACGTGTCAACACCGGAAATGCAGAAAGCAAGCACTGAGGAGCGAAGAATCTCTCACAAAATCGACAAAGTCTTTTCCCTCCAAACTAACAAGCTCAGTACAAATACGAAAGGTTTTTCTCAAACGGATAGCCCGAAAGACACCAAAACTGTTGAGTAAAACGGTTTTATAGGGACACATGGCGAGAAGGGGAAGCGTTTTCAATTCAAAAACTACCCACGCTTACCCTTAAACACCCATGTAACGACACTAGCATTTAATGCTTCTGACAGTTAAACGCCTAATCCACCATACTTAAGCGGCTAAAATTCATGATGACACTTTAACATGATTACTGCGGCGAACAGAAAGGACATATGGGATGTAATTACCGCGCTTCAACAGCATATAGCTCACAGCTTTGCCACATGACAAAACCACAAGCTAGGGGGCGACTGATCCAGATAAAATATAGGCCCATTAGAGGCCCAGTGACATACAAAGAAGCCCAAACCCATTAAAGATCCAAAGCAAAGCGCGATGGACAAACATCGCGCATAAGACGCGATGCCCTCACCGCGCTGGACGAGACGCGATACCAATATCGCGAACAAAACCCCTTTAAGGAAGCTAACTTAAGGCCCAAGGCAATCCCACCGTGCCTTTATACCAATAAACGAAAGACAGCACCAGCTTGCCGCGACTCTACAACTGGACATTAGAGAAGCTAAGGCTACTCAGGTCCTAGCACTGACCTGCAGCCCAAGCCTGGCCACTCAGAGGCCAAGCCGCCTTGCTAAGGCGGCATCCTAAACATTACATAAGCAGAGGGTACAACACCAAGGTACGATCATCCTTTACATTAATAGCATACAAACTCCTGCCTCTGATACTGACTTAAGCATCGGAGTGTCATCGCAGGTACCCCCCATTCGAATCCAACGCGCTACAACAAAGGACAGAGATAGAGTAAGATCCAACCTCAACTCCAGGCCCAAGACCAAGAACAACAATCTATATCTCAACCGTGTGTGATTTGGCTCGATACATACTGGCCAGCCCATATTGTATTTGGTCTCATCACTTACCAATAACAAACACTGATAGATAATCGCTGCATATAGCAACAAGGAAAAGTAAAGAAATAAAAAAAATTGAACATATACATTGATCTTCCATTTTACTTTATAATAATATTGGGAGTTAGATCTGCTCATGTTAAATAAAATATGATATGGTCATGTAGAGAAATCACAATCATCGAAATATAAATCAATAGTGATGATTTTGTAACTACCTATTTCAATATTTTTATCTTTTCCTTATCACCATTGATCTACATTTGCATGATTATAATTTCCTCACATGATCATATCATGTTTTATTGGACATCAGATAAACCCCTCCCATCAATATCACACTAAATGTAAAAATTCCTTGTCATCCCCTTTCCATCTCTGGGAGAAAAAGGAATTATAATCTACCAAATGTGTACAAGATGCAACCACAGAGTAGCTGTTGCTTTCAGCATTCTCTATGATGTGTTCATCAGTTCATGTATACTATATAGCTGCTGCACTATACATAGAATGAAGCAAAATAAATAAACAAAACAAATTAGGACTAGTACCCAAAGTCACGTGGATCTCAATTGCTGTCCCACTAACGAAAATTTTAAAGGCTACTGAAGGAAAATTTGCTCCGGCAAAGTCTTATACTTACATATTTGCAAAATGATTGTTTTACACTTTCGAACCCGTGACCTTTCGATCATAAAGGAAGAGCAAGTGTATATTATATTCTACTGATCCCTTAATAGTTAATGCTATATGGATACTACTTATTTTTCCTTTTAGTATACTCCCACATATGAAAAGCAAAATTGTGTATGCTTTTCAAGAGTCTTCAGAAAATATTCTGAAAATGAAGTCACGAAAACGCTTTGAGTATTGTTTAGGATCAACAGCTGATATTGAGGTTGGGTCATATTGAATGGACTTGTAGGCATGCTCAAGCTTCTTGGTGATGTCATAGTCTTGAAGTACGTCTATGATGCCAAAAAACAAAACAACCTCGTAGAACTCTCCAACTGGTTCTCCTACAAGTTGTAATTCACAACCACTTCTTCTCATTGTCCTTTCAACCCTTGCTGGCATATTCACACCCAATTTGATACTCGCCCACCTGAATATATAGATGTATTAGCCAACAAAGCATAACTAAAGCAATAATGATCGTGCAGATCAATGAATCATCTCATGTTTAACTTCAACGTGATCACGTAATGTGAAAAATCTCAATCATTCATTAATGACTTAAAGGTCAAAATTTTAATAACAAAACTAGTAAAATGGAGAAGTGAAAATTGCCATTTTAATTGCTGGCCGGCCATTGATGTATCAATGAATGATTTAGATGTTAGAGAATAATATAAAATATTAAAAAAGACCATCACCTAACACTTTAAGGTTTTGGGTTGGAATGGTTCTTTAATATGGTATCAAAGCTTCAGAGATCACGAGGTCACGAGTTCAATCCTCACTGCCCCCACTTTCAGATGGAATTAAGAATAGCACAAGGCAGACCAAAAAAAATGGGTTTGTGTAGCACAAGGCAGACCAACAATGGGCTTGTGTCATATCTACGCTTCAAGCCCAAAGGGTTCTTGCATGAGAGAGTGTGTTAGAGAATAATATAAAATATTAAAAAAGACCATCACCTAACACCTTAAGGTTTTGGGTTGAAATGGTTCTTTAATATGAGATTTTTCATATGGTCATTTTTAAAACTTCAGAATCTTTTGCACATCAAATAGTATACTCTCTATATGCTAAAATAACCTATTCAAGTTTCATTACAACATTGTCTCAAACTTTCAGAATTACATATGACCTGGAAGGATCTAGAAGAAGTTGATCCACGTCTACTCTTGAAATATGTGGAGTTCCGTCACTCTCTGAGTCACATAAGATTGAAAAGCCAAAATATTTCTATTAGTTTCTAAGAATTTAGGTATGACATTGAGATTGTTGAGTATTTCAGATAAAAATAAGAAAGGTACCACTAGGAGTCCGAGATCCTGAAGGAATAAGATCCCCATCTGCTGATATATCTTTGAAATGAATACCAACCAGCAAACTATAGTCCATAATTCCCTCCTGTTCCAGAAGCTCACAGTCCCTATCAATTTGCCTGAGATAACAAAAACATGCTTAAGATGCTTATTTTATTTGGACAGGTGACAAGAAAAGAAAAGAAAAAAATTTAAAACTACTACTCATATTTGGATTTGCAATTGTTCAACATATAGCAGACTAGACAGCATAAGGATGAGAAAATCAGATACAAACTATTGTACTGAAATCTTCCATCACCTGCAAAATTCTTGATACCAAGTTCTTTGCAGTCTAAATATAAAATTTAGATCAAGATCTTTAAGGATAGTGGTTTCACTAATCTCTGTCTCAGGCTTATCTGTTATCCGGCCAAGTGAAGAACCTTTCAAATCAAAGCGTCTATTGATTGTATACTCAGAACAAAAGAGGTTACCCATTATAATAAACCGAACCTGCAAATCCAAACATGTTATAAAGATTATGTTAGGGAAATATAATATATTTCATCACCTAACAGTTTAAGCTTTTGAGTTGAATTGAATGTTTTACATGATATCAGAGCATTGGTGACGAGTTCAATTTTCAATGCTCTCATTAACAACTTAAGTTGTTGCATTGAAATTATTCTTGACAAATTATAATACTTATTATTAATTCATATTTCGTAGTTCTATCAAACTATAGCGATTAATATGATCCTATAAGGATAAACAGAAGTAAATGTCAAAAACTTCAAAATTCAAAACAGTCATAAAACTATAAATTTCTATGATCCTATGAGTATACCTTCTTTTGAGTAGGTCCAGTTAACTTTACACAATGCAGGCCATAAAACTTTGTCAGTAGAGCATTCTCAAATACCCGAAAATGATTGTAATAAGCTGGAAGCATTCTCAAAAGAGCCTGCAATAGAATTCCAGCATAGCCAAATTAATAAGAACATGCCTTGATTTACAAGAAATTTCAAATGGAGTCAAAGATAAGCATGACACTCACTTTTGCTTCTGCTTTCTTCATTGTCTTAATCATGTAACGGTCATCATTGGTCAAGTAAAAGAAGCTGCCACTTTTTCCAGGAGAGGAAAGTTCACGAAGCGCGTCATCTCCACATATGGATATCATGTAATCAGCTGCATCAACCTTGAATAGCTTCCTAAGAGCTCTGAGTGCAGAGTTTGAGTTAAAAGTTGATTAATGGTAACATGGAAAAATTCTACCATAGCTTTATGTTGGATAATGACAAGAGAAAATCTTAGGTACTTGAATGAAAGAGAGTGCTATATATAATATATCAAGGTCTAAATCTAGAGTATTAAAGTTAAAAGGAGTGTACTCATGGAAGAATCTTATAATATGAAAATAATGAGCACAAACTAGCAGCAACAACATATTAAGTATTAATAGGGCTTACCTAAAAACTACAGGGCAATAGTCCTTCCACTTGAACTCAATTGAAGCATGTGGTGGAGTATACTTGGATCCTTCAGGAGGAAATCTTGTCCACACCTTCTCCTTGGAGTCAAAAGCTGAAGGCTTCAGATCAAGAGATGCTGAGGGGGCAGGTCTTCCAATAGCATGCCTATGCAACAACTCCAAGAAATTCTAATGACTAATGATTGACAAATACACAGCCAAGATGACATGAAACTATGAAAGCAAAGCCAAAAAAAAAAACCTATATATGTTACCCTGTAAAAGTGGATTTAAAGAATAGAGTGTAGTCAAATTATTTTGTAAAATTCAAGCGTCATGAATAAGTTTAACTAAAGAAGATAGATTTATGGAGAAACTTAATTACATTTCGTTCATGTCAGAAGGGATGTCTAATTTTTTCTTGGAAACTCAGTTTATCTCAAGCTTCAACCTTACAGGTTGAAATCTCTAGCCATGAAGCACAATGAAAAGCTGAGCCCCTATTTTATGGCCCATATAAGGCACCGGAAAAGATTGTATAAGCTGCAAGACAGCTGGAAGTTTTCAAGTGGAAGAACTTACTATACATTGAAAATACCTGAGAACTCTTTTATTGATACAGCAACAATTCCCTATTATTCACCTTGGGGACAAGGTGAAAGTGTTGGGAGGGAGTATTCATAGGAATATGCTTTAAGGGTGTATTTTCGGAAGGGTCAGAGGGGATCAAGCCCTTCCCATGCTGAGTAAGCATTTTCCAATTGGCGGGAGCACTATGTTAGGAGGGAATGATACATTCTTTAGGGAGGTTTTCTTTTATTGGAAATATTTTTTGGGAATCCAAATGTGAGTGATAAAAGTCTCACGTTAGAAAAGAATAGGTTAAGCATAACACATATAAATGGAATGACCTATGCACTTAATGCCTTAAGGTTTTGAATTGGATTGTGACGTCGGACCCCTTGTTGTGGGTTTATCGTTTAGGTCCATTTGATATGTGGATAGTGTGGAATCAATGCATTTCAAAATGAAGATTCAATAATACAAGAGTTTTGAAGATAACAAACAAGTTTGAAAGAAGACTTCAAGAGTGATGCAACTTACAACAATCAAAAAGAAGTCCTAGGAAAACATCCAACAAATACAATACGATCAAGTCCAAAGAAAAGATCAAGAGTCAAGCTACAATGAAGTAACCTAAGTCCAAAAACCTACAAGCAACATATCTATAGGAGTTAGAATCAAATGTAAAGTTAATTGATTAATATTGCATGAATGAGCTCGGAGAATACTTATTTTTATGCATGCATCTTCCATGACTTTAAGCACTTGAAAGAAATTTAAAAATACATGGAAAATGTCATTGACATGTTTTATAACTTCAAAGTATATTTATCAAGTCAATGTATTTCATAAAAAATGGTTGAAAGCAAGTTGGAATGCATTTGAACTCAAAATTATTGCATTATTAGTTGTTGTCAAGAAAGTAATTGATTACTTTGTTGACCAGTTATCGAATACTTTGTTGGAGACAGAGTAATTGATTATTTGATGTAGTAATCGATTACTTCACGAAAAGTAATTGATTATTTACTAACCAATAAGCATTCCAATGGCTATAAACAACTAGTTTTGGTCCAATACTTATATATACTCATTTATTACGCCTCCAACCAGTTTTCAGTCATTGTTTTATTGAATATACAATCCTTATTGATTATTCTTCTTGAGTCAAACACATCAATTACTCATTCTTATTCATCTTGATCATAAACATTCTTTGAGCACTATTCTTGTGATATTCATCAATACCCATAAGCTTCAACTTGTTCAATCTGTACTTCAAGAGTGCTTAATTATTTCTAAACATTCTCCTACTGTACACTTGAGTTGAGGGTAGCAAGACCCTAGTGAAAAGGTTGCTCATAGCCTTAGAAATTAAGTGGAAGTGTAAGGTGTCTGATATGAACCTTAGAAGAACCTCACCCCAAAAGCTAGATCAAAAGATAGAAGAGCCCAAAGTTCATATAAACCCCACATTAGTCACCCATATAACCAATGTGGAACTCCAAATCCTATACCTTGGAGTAGGATCGTAACATTCTACCACGCTCCGCAGCCCCGGCGCACATGTGGGCTAGCTTTATGCTAGTCTTTTACTAGCCGTGGGGGAACAGTGCAATGTCAATATTATCACCCGTGCCACTCGATTGCAACTGGGAGACATGTGAAAGGCTCTGATACCAATTGATACGAACCTTAGAAGAACCTCACTCCAAAAGCTAGCTCAAAAGATAGGAGAGCCCAAAGTCCAAATGAATCCCCCACATTAGTCACCCATATAACCAATATGGGACTCCATGTGCCATATCTTGGAGTAGGATCATAAATTTATGGCTTACAATAGTAAGCATTTTAGAGAATTACACTCCCTTAACAATTTTGACCATGTTGATCTAGCTACTAAGTCAACATCAGGTGAGGAGAATATGAAAAACGATTAGAAGTGAGAGAATAAGAAGAGAAGGACGTAAGGAGTGTGGCATCTTTTGGGACCATTTGGAATTCTGGGCTTTTTGGTGAGATCAGGGGCTCTCCAACTCCTCTGAATCTATCTTTTATTTCCTTTCATTTTTACACTTCGTGAATGTTAATCTGTCTCTGAAATTCTAGCTCATTTAGTTAGTACCAATTTGTATCCAAAATTCAGGTTCAATGTAATTACAAACACATATGTCATTTTCAGTTTTACATTCTTTTCTAGAAATTTCCGTTTGAGTTGTTACAATTGGTATCAAAGTTCTTTTTTCCTGGGAGCGCTGAATGGTTTTGACCAGAACTATGGATCATCGAATGGAAGCAATGGAGGCAAGGATAGGTAGAACAAAGGAGGGAGTCCAGCGTGTTGAAGCAGGATTAGCAGATGTGCTTAGAGATCTTCATGAACTCAGAGAGGAATGTCGCTCCCCCAGTCGCCACGCGGAGGTCGATAGGACCGAAGAAGTAGAGACTCCCCTGATTCCGTTGATGGATAGCAGGATGGAGTACACAAAGGAGAGAATTTTGGGAGGAGGCTAGAACTTCCAACATTCTCCAGCGAGAATGTATACGATTGGTTGAACAATGTTAATAGATATTTTGAGGTGAATCGTCTGAACGATAGGGAGAAACTGAGGATTGTGATGGTCGTTCTCGAAGGGAAATCCCTCCATTGGTACGCTTGGTGGGAGAAGAACATTGTCCATGCTACTTGGGGGGGGTCATTCTACACAGAGATGTTGAGCAGGTTCCAACCGAAATTGGATGGGAACCCCTTACATAAGCTGTTGAGTTTGCTTCAAAACAGGACTGTGCAAGATTATCGACTAGACTTTGAGAGGATTAGTGGGATCTTGAAGCATGTGGATGATGAAGATCTTTGTGGAATCTGGTTGAGTGGGTTGTCGAATTACATACATGAGGAGCTTCTGATGGAACCTTTAGACACTTTTCCATTATTGATGAGGAAAGCCCAACGTATAGAGAAGAGGAATTGGGCTTGGGCAGCAGAGGAGGTAGGAGGAAATGGGCCAACGCGATGGGGAGGGATTTCCAAGAGAGCCTAAATTCCAACAACCCGTTTACCCAATACCAAAACTAATTCTTGGTTTATTGGTCAACAAAATACGGACCAACTTAACCAACATACTAGGTTTACTCAAAATAACTCCAACCCAACAATCACGACGCAAGAAACTTCTAGAATGGAGGTAGCTTCACAACAAAACCCTAGTCCCACCATTCCCGTCATGCAACAGCCATCGAAAAGTTAGAGTAGCACCAGCAGTCTTAGTGGGAATCATCGTTTATCACAGGCGGAGTTACAAGAGAGGTCGCGCAAGGGATTGTGCTTCAACTGCAAGGAGAGATGGAATCCTAGCCATAGTTGTGCTGTGAAGAATATTAATTTGTTGATGATAGACGAAGAGGGGGAAGAAGGCGACATGCAAATGAACTAAACGAGTAGGGTAGTGGCGATTTAGGAGGAGGAGACGTTACAACTGCGCTCGCAAAGCCTGTTAGGGCACACTAAAAGCAAAATGATGCATTTATGGGGCGTAATAAACAGAAGGCGCGTTATAATGCTGATTGATAATGATGCATCACATAATTTCATCTAGACTGAATTGGCTGAAGAACTACAACTGGAGACAAGGCAACACCATCATACCAAGTCGAAGTTGGAAATGGGGATCGTATAAGGTGCAGTAGAGTGTGTTGAAGGGTAAAAATCCAAATACAATGGGTTGTTGTTTTACAGGATTTGCTCCTCTTTCGCTTGGGTGGGATTGATGTGGTACTGGGTATGGACTGGTCGAAGGATCTAGGCAATGTAATAGCCAATTTTCGTGAACTAACTATTTGCTTAAAACATGAAGAACGGAAGGTTAAGTTCAAGGCTGAATCTGAGTTGTCTAGAAGTATGGCTTTGCTTAAGTCCACTATAAAGGCTATTAAAGGTGAAGGAGAGGCATACTTTTTGCAACCAAAGATTAGGAACATATTGATTGGGCAGAGCTGAACTTGTTGTTGGAGGAGTATGCTGATGTCTTTGCAACACCAATTGGGGTACCGCCTAAGAGGAGTAGTGATCACGCTATCATTCTCAAGTCTGGCACTGAAGTCCCAAATATTAGGCCTTACAGGTACCCAAGTTATTAGAAAGAGGAAATTGAGAAAAATATTCTTGAGTTATTGAATTCTGGTTTTATCAGACTAAGTGTGAGCCCTTATTCAAGCCCTATGATTCTAGTCAAAAGGAAAGATAATAGTTGGAGGGTGTGTGTTGATTATAGGAAGTTAAACAAAATGATAGTGTCAGATAAGTTCCCAATGCCCATAATTGATTAGTTGATTGATGAGATTAGAGAGTCTTGCATCTTCTCAAAATTAGATCTGAAATCCATATTTCAAGAAATCCGTATGAAGGAGGAGGATATAGAAAATATTAGTTTTAGGACCCATGAAGGGCATTACGAGTACCTAGTAATGCCCTTCGGGTTGACAAATTCCCCCTTGACTTTCCAAGCTTTAATGAACGAGTTCCTGCGACCGTTCCTTCTAAAGTTCGCTTTGGTTTTCTTTGATGATATATTATTATATAGTAAAACTAGAGTGACCATCTTC